AAAAAAAAGGAAAAAAAGAACAAAAAAAAAGAAAGACTTCGAAGATCTTCCAATTAACGAGTCCGAGGAGTTTCTCTTCATTAAAAAAAAAAAAAAAAATAGAATTATTTTTCGATTAATAATTGGTCGCGCAACCGGCTATCTCACTACCGCCAGTTATCCTTAACGAGTTAACCTTTTCTTTCTCTTATAAACGTTATCGAGCAAAGCAATAATATCTTTGTATTATCGTTCATGATCTCTTCTCTTTTCTAAAAATCGTTCAATGTTTTCGATCGAATGTTTGCGCGGCGCAACATTGCCACGAATTCGTGGTAAAATCTCTGGGAGCTAGTGTTTATTGATGTTCCAATGCGTGGCTTCGATCCCAGTTTATTTGCACACCCGACGATTCTTCTGTCGTCCTCCTCCAAGTCCTCGAAAGCGCTACTTAATGTCTTCTCCTTGAAATTCAACCTTGCCACATAAGTCGATACACAAACAACACGAATTCCCATCCCGATATAAGTCAATTGCGCCTCGAAGACATCAATCAAAGAGCCTTTCCATTCATCAACCGCGTTACCTCGTCGATAAATCTTTTCTTATTATTATAATCCTTAAAATCATCTCCATCTCTTCTTTCTCTTTTATTCTTTCTTTTTTTATGATTTCTTTTTATACATTTGTTATTAAGCTATTAACGTGACCACGTGTGTGTATATATATGTACGTATAAACGAGAAAGATGCGTGTTTTGAATTTGTTCTTCATTCGCTTGTGCTTCGTGCTGTCGTCGAGAAACGAAGGATCGAGCGGAAGAAACGAGACGTTAAACGCGTTATTATTTCGTCAGCCTTTCTTTTTCTTTCTTTTCTTTTTCATTGTCTATTCGGTTCTTTTTCTTTGTTCGTTGAGACGGATGGACCGTTGTTGTCCGGTACCACGCGGTATCTAAAGTATTAAGCGAGCCTATAGGTGTTATGTAATATATAGGGCATATAAGCAAGGAATATACATATATACATATAAGTATATGCATATACATATGATATATATATATATTTTTTTCAAATTAACGTATTTTTCGATATCGTGAAAGTATAAGAGGAACGGCTCTGTGTATGTGTGTGTGTGTGTGTGTGTGTGTATGCGCGCATGCGCATGCGTGTCTGTGCAACGCTTTTGTGTCATACATGAAGAAAGGGCATAACACGATTCTTGTTTTGATTTGATCGCACCGAAGAAATCGAATCTGCCGGAAAGGAGAGAAGTGCGCGCTATAATCGAAGGGATTTCTCTTTTCGAAATTTCTAGAGAACGGTCGGAAGGATCGATCGAACGCGTTATCGATTCGCTACGAGATTCCGAGGATAACGATGAAAACCAAAGCGATGGATCGCGTAAAAAAAAATGGCGATCGATTCGTTGTAACGAATGAAATTTCTGTTAATATTTATTAAAGTCGAAGAAAGGAGGAGAGAATTTCGTTCGAAGTGACACGTTCGTTCACGCCTCCCGTCGTGCTTCAGTGTGATAAGCCACGAAATGTTAATCTAAAGCCACTATATTTGTAAAACATACCTTTATTTATTATTAATCGTCTGCGCGGAGACACGTAAGAAATAGTATTTCGAGCAGAGAATAATATAAACGTACAATAAACCGTACAGATCACGTTGATGATCTCGATATATAGATTCTTTCACTTATCGAAATACTATTTTTTTCGTTGATCTATCTATCACGGGAAACAATTGCGCCAATAAAAATAAGTATAATTTAGACGAATGAACGATACAGCATGTTATTTACTATTAAACGCGACGATCGCACTACTTTCTGTGGCATTTATAATGTCGAAGCAAATTATTATCATGGATCGGAGGCTCAAAATTATGATAGCTTATTTTCGAACAAAAATCTCTGATCAAACAAAAGTGTTACAGGGATCTGCGGCATAAACGTGTTTCTTAAAGATTTTTAAGACGCATCACAAGACTGTAATAATCGTGATCGGCATTATTCGCGGAAGGATCTCGTATCTGTGTTTATTCCGCATACTTTCTATACGTCTTATTTTCCTATTTTTCCCTTTGTTTTCACTCGTTTGTATCTTTTTTTACGTTACTTTCCTCGCGTGAATTTTCTATATTTTATACGACACGTTTATATTATTACTATTACTAATTTTCTGCGAATTATCGCCGACAACGATGCTCGATGAATTAATTTTTCCTGTTCATTGCCGCCCCTCGAGTTGCACAGTTTTGCTCAGAGTGAAAACGAATCATTATAAAGATCACACGTCGAGTAGTGAGACGAGTTGTGTACGATTTAATATTTCTTTCTGTCAACTGTCGGACAAACGTGCTTATTTATAACATTTCAATATAAATATAGTTTCTTTTCTTTCTTTCTTTCTTTTCTTCTTTCTTCAAGTCGTTATTACGTAAATGTGGAACCCTCTGGTTTCAACGACTCGATAGTCACGATCCGCACTGTTTCCGCAGTTGATTTATTGTAACATACCACGAGTGCCTACAATAACAGCTGTATGTTCTCTCCCATAGTCCATGGTAAAGTTTCAGATTTTTTAACAGCTCGAGATTAAAAAGCACACGTTTATCGAGAGAGAAAAGACGATGTTCGAGAAGGAGAGGAACCTATTATATTTTGTAAATAATGAATGTGTTAACTCGTGATCGATCACGTTTGTGATCACAGAGAGAATGCCACAATGAACCATGCGTATGTGGTGATCGTCGCAAGGTTCTCACTCGCAAATTCCAAATAATCTTTTATCTCACGATTACTTGCCCACAAGAAAATGTTACCTTCGACCACGGCGACTTATAAATCGATATTTGTACATAACTGCACTTTTTTTTTCTTCTTTTGACCAAAAAAAAAAAAAAAAAAACACGCTACTCGTGCCGATGAAACTATGGCAAATATCAAAGGCGTTAATAAATATCGGCCGGAGAAGGAACTTCTACAAATAGCATTTTTGATCTATTGTGTCTCCTCTTATATATTTGTACCCCTGAAATAGCTTCTTTGAGGACGTTTCAAATACAGTTCCTATACATATATGGTAAAGCGACTTAGAGACTCGGTCGGCCGTTGTCCACGATAAACATGATTCCAAGACAAGTTTCGATCCTTCTTTCTCCGGCTGTACGGAGATATAAGTATTTAGATCTAAGGGACATATCCACAGCGTGTAGTGTACTTGTATATGAATAAATATTTTCAATGTTTTTGACAATACTTGGTAGCATTTTTTGTTTGTTGTTACCCCAAGCACTCTGAAATATTAATTTTAAAGATATAGAATGCATAATACGCAATATAAAGAACATTAGATATTCGTATCTAAGAAACCATATATTTCATAAACATAATAAATGTAATGATAAAAGTTACTAATGCATATTTAAAAGAATATGCATTAGATATATGATATTTATAAATATAATGATAGATAGACACTATTAATGTAAAAAAAAAGATATATAAAAAATATATCATAATGTTAATTTGTACAATTCGTGCATTTATGACGAGAAAAAAAATTATATTCAGTGCTGCTGATGAATATATGATTGTCTAATAAACATTTGAGTGAAAAAAATAAAAGAAGTATTGACAGTTCAACGCTATCAACATTATAAATATTGTAAAGAGTGATATAATCCACGCTCAATTTTGCTTTAACAATCATATAATTTTTTTTTATATGCTTGTTTTATCTTCTTAAAATGTCCTCTTAAAGGTTTCAAAATTCCTGACTGATAATTCGAATAGGTGGGATGATAACATTCCATTTATTCACTTTACGAAGATTATTTTCGTTTTTTACATTTGGTTCTACCTCGACGTCTACGAGACGAATTTGGACGAGTATCTGCTTTCTTTGAAGATCTGTAAATAAATTTTATATCGAACAATTTGTCAAGCTAATTTAAATTAATTAATAAATAATAAAATTTCTTACCTATGAACCCTGTTCACTGAGACGGAAGTGTGTTTCTTTAAAGTCAAATGCTGTTGGACCAATTCTGCTAATTTGCCTTGTTGAGCAAGCATCGAAAGGAAAGTACAAATAAACTCGTCATAATTATGTGTTCTACGACAATCATCTATCTGAAATACAAAGAATAAAATAATACATAAATCTTACTCGTAATATTAATAAATTTTTATTAAAATATATTTACCTTATATTTATTCCTCTTGTCATTTTCATCTTTTAAACTAGTTTCACAAATATTAATTTCATGTTCTAAATTCTTTAATAATGCTAAAAGATCTTTAGGCGCAAATGTATGCGGTTCGAACAATTCCGGATATTTTGAACATAATTTTGGATCGATCTTTTCGACTTTCTTCTCTTCGGTAACAGTATCCCCGTTACTAGTTTTTACTCTGGCATGAGGTATCCTAACTTCTCCTGACAGGCAGACCTTCTTATGTAAATGACCACTGTCGGAAACTAATCTTTTTCCATTTATATTAATATTTCCAAGAGAACGACCTACTTATGGATATAAATTTTATGTACCGCTTCCATAAAATACAAAGATAAGTACCATATTAAATGAATATATAACAGTGAAACAATAAACAATATACGTACTTAAACCTGCTTCATTCTTTTCATCCCCAGACACTCTAATCACGACAAATTTTTTGAAATCTTTTGTCGATGTTGGGCTGCTTTGACCAGAATTCCATCCCCACGCTATAAATCAAAAAAATTTATTTATTACAAAGAACCATATGCAACGTTTTATTGTATACATTTTATACAAAAGAAATCATGATATAATACCTTTTTAATTGTCATCGTATAATAAGAAACAATACGGAAATATTGAGAAACCGCAGGTCAAATAACTGTATCTCGAAGGTGTCAAAGGAGACGAAATATGGGGGAATGTGCGAAAATCAAATAATACCATCTACCGAACTACAAGAATTTTAGTCTGCTGTGTAACAGTACACGTGACAGTAGAAACAAAATGAAATTGATAGCTTTTTTTTTGTATTCTATTCTAATCACAATCGAATCGTCAAAATGTCCAGAATCAAGGAAACCTCACTCCACTAGCTGTACTATATTTTATAATTGCGTGAATTTGCCTAGTGGTGGTTACGTTTGGATACCTAGTAAATGTATCGGAAATTTGGTAAGATTTTGTTAATATAATTAATAAAACAATTAAAAAATTTTTTAAATTATAACACGTTTTCCATTTTTAGATATTTCAGCCGTATCTACGAATGTGCGTTCTGCCTGGTGATTCCTGGACATGCGACACACTGTCGACAGAATCATCTTTTGTAACAAACAGGTATGAAATCCCTGAATTGATCAATCCAAATGAAAGTAGTTATATGGGATCAACGGAAGATCCATGGAATTTTTCTGAATTTATTGATTCGTCATATACTACTGACAGCATTCCTGATTATTTTGATCAAGATACAGCCACTGCGTACCCTTTGATTGAAGATAAAGAAACAATGGAACACAAATATAAATTGAATAATACGGATAATGTTTCTGAAATTAATAATATAAAAGAGAGTTATCTACAAACGGAAAATAATAATAAAAAATATTATTCAATGTTGAATCAGTTAATACATCATCTATTAATTTATAAAAAAATTACCATCCCATTGGAACTTTTAGCATCATCATCATTATCCGAATCTTCGAAATCTGTTACAAACTTACCATTATCAAGTTACCTTGTACAAAATTATATTCAACAAAATAATAATTTACAAAATACTATCATAACTGACGTCAAATTACAAGAGACAACTGAAAATAGTGCGATTTTAAAAAATGATATTAATGAATTGATATCAAACACAGAAAATTCTAAAAATTTGTCAATAACTGATGATGAAAACAATATAATCTTAATTATGGATAATATGGGAAACAAACAATATTTAACTATTGAAAGATATAGGTCGTTAGGTTATCATTTGGATTCAGAATTTGTTCAAGTTATTCCATGCATAAAAAATGTTCGGATGCCAAATATGACCAATTGTATTAAATATTACGTATGTGAACCTGACATGGCCTCTGTAATAGAATATTCATGTCCATTATTCACAGCATTTAATAAATATTTAAAAACATGTGATGCAAGCACATATAATAAATGTAATGAAAATAAAAATAATAAAGAAAATATAAATTTGTTAGGAAATGTAAATAATATATTTCAAACAAATAAAAATATATGTACAGAACATGGAAAAACAAAAGATCCTACATCTGAATCTCATTATTATATTTGTTATTCACCTTCAGATAATTCAGAAGATATCAAATCTGTACGAATGTTATGTCCAAATGGTTTAATATTTTGTCAAAGTAAGAAAGTTTGTTCAACGAAACGTCTCTGTAAAATATCATAAAAAATATTTTTTTATTTACCTTGTGTTGGAGAATTAAATGCAGATCCGATCTCGGATGATGTATCAGTACTAGACGAACTATGTGCTGGAGATGTTTGAATTCTGAGAGGTGTAGCATAATCCAATGCACACATTACTACTTTTTCCATACTAAAATATTTAAAAAAGTATATATTATAATTTCGTTTAAAAAAATAAAATGCTTTTAAATATCATAAATATTATTTTTTACCTACTTTGATTCTGCCTTTCCAGAAGTTACACTTGAGGCTGGTTCTTCAGTATCTACAGCAGAATCACTGTTTCTTTCAACTGTAATAGTTGGTATTGATGAAGATTCATCAATCTCTGATTTATTAGATAAAATATTTTCGTCGTCAGTTTTATTTTTTTTATCATAGGATTTATCTGATTTATCAGAATCATTTGAATTTTTTTCCGTTCCATCTTGATGACTTAATTTAACAAGTTGTTGCAATGCCTCTAATACTATTTGCCTATTAGTTTTTAACATAGTTAATTTATGCGAAATAGCGAGTCGTCGATCAGGAACAACAGCCATTAAATTAAATCTTATATCTTGTAACTGTTCTCCTGTTGCCATTCCTAAACGATCTGTAATTACTCTTCTAAATTGTTCAGTCCATTCTTCATGCTCTTTCCACGGACCATGATCCATCGGATATGGTTTTAAACCATCTAATTCAAATAATCTACCATTAATTGGTACATAACTAACAAAATGAAAAGCTTCCCCAGTAAATCTACCAGTTGAAACGCCAGTATTTTTATCCTGACGTCTTTTGGCTTGAGGCATTGCATGAGAATTATGAGCACATGCCAATTCAGGAGTATTACCAATTGCCCATCCTTTATTTTCTGGACACATACCAGATGTATGCATTTTTAATCGGGATAAAGTTGTACCCAAATGAATATTTGGACAATTAAGTAATACAGAAAGTAATGCATGAGTTGCACAACTATTGGGCACAACCTATAAAATAATAGATTATTTAAATTCATATTTTATATGAAAACATTATAATATATAAAAGATATAAATGAAAGCACTTGTTGGGCAAAAAATATATTGTTAACAATTTCTTCATCTTTTACAAAACTTTCATCTTGTTCTACAACTTTACGCCTGGATCTCCTTTCTTCTATCCAACGAAATAAAAATATAAAACCATATACTGGACCTTCCAATGATTTTTGTAAATCATATATTTCTTCTACTTGTACACCTTTTACTCCAAAATCCTCCAATAATAATGTAAATAAACCTAATAATAAAATAAAAACCTTATAATAATATAATAAAGATAAGATAACCTTTTTAAGCGTATTATAATCTTAATATTATTAAGACAAAGGAATGAAATGATTTTTATTATTTCTTGTGATAAAACTAAAATATATTATATTTGTAGTAAATATGTAACAAATATAATAAAATGAAACCAAATAATTAACATTATTTTATATCATATATATTGTATTTATAGAAAATAGACATTATAATATATTGTGTCACAATAATTACTTTATACTATATAATAATATATCCAGATAATGTAATATTAATAGTTATTAAATTAACATACTCTTGTGCGTATTATTTTATACCTGGATCACTTTCCAATTCTAGCCAACCTTCTGTTAATCGATTTATGTCAACTGGCATTCTGTGTTCAATTTCAAGTTCAACATTTAAAAGAATTTTAAATTCATTTAGAAATTTTATTATACTGTGACAATTAAAGACGCCATATTACATCAAAACACATATCATGTGACGTAGTCACGTGGTAAAAAAAGGCTTAAAAAATATGTTAAAGCAATTTTCAATCATTTTTATTTTTTAATTGGTTATATATTGGATAATTAACCTATTTAACTAATTTATGTTTAATAAGAGAAATAACTACTTAAAAATTTTGTTTTTTCAATAAAAAAATATATATGAAAGCAAATATAAAATATAATTTATTTAATCAAAAATTTAATATCAATATATGATTTGGTACTTTTTTCAATAAAATTTTACATTATATATATTTATTTCAATACATTGATATAGAAATAAAAATATAATTTTATTCAAAATACTATTGGATATACATATATGGTTATATATGTATATAAATTGACTCTAGCGCATTCTATTAACAATTCTAATAAGATCTTTTGAATGAATACTTTGTATATATAAACCACGTCACATATGTCATTCATATTTGCAATAAATTTGTATTAAAAATAATTAATATGAATATTTTCTCATTAATGATTAGTCTGTTATTATTTTTTCAATTATCAGAATGTACATTATCACCACCCAAAGATAGGAATAATAAGAAAAATAAAGGAAAAATTGAAAATAAGGTAAAGAAAATAATTTCGCATAATAACTATGATTCATTTTTGATAATATTATTTCAGAAAGGTCCTGTAGAACAAGATGTTTTCAGCAGAATTTTGGTAGTCAAAAATCCTAAAACACATGATATAATTCGAGAATCAGGATTTTATTTTTTTAATACAACTCGTCGACGATTTAGTGGAGAGGTTTTGGGGTATATTACACCGGTAAATTTATTAATTTTCTTAATATTTTAACTTGGTAAATATGATATTTTTTATATACACATATTTTGAAACAAATTTATTAATGATAAATTTTTTTTAGTGGAATAACAATGGATTTGAAGTTTCTAAAATATTTCATGGAAAATTCACAATGATATCACCAGTATGGTTAACATTTCCAGAAGGCAGTACGTCAACATATAAATTGTCAACTCATGATGTTCAAAAAAAATGGTTAAAAGAAATGAAAACTATAAATAATGAAACCCATCATGTAAACAGTATGTTAATTTTTTAATATTACTATTTCTTATATATAAATATATATAAAGATACAATTACTATCTACAGTTTTACCAAGAGTATTATTCGAGCACTGGTCAGTTAATGACATTATTGCATTATATAGTGATACTCAAAAACAAATTGCATTGATTTCAGCACTCACAGACACAGCAAAGGTATAACTTTAACAATACTTTAACAATATTTATAATGCATTAAATGTTAATTTAATGTAAAATAATTGTTATATACAATATTTCAGAATTTTCATTTTGATGGATATGTATTAGAAATGTGGAATCAGTTTGTATCAACAGGTGTAGATACACAGATTGTTGTAGCATTAATTCAATTTATTGCTCATCAATTGAAAAATAATAATTTGGATACGATTTTAGCAGTACCACCCTCAAGAGGGTAAGTTATTATTTTGTAATCATATTACAATTACATTATATTTGAAAGATTTCAAAAATATAAGAAACTATATTGTTTTTCAATATTTCAGCCCAAATATTCAATTATTTAATAGAGATCAATTTGATCAATTATCTCCGTATTTGAAAGCATTCTCTTTAATGACTTATGATTATTCAAGCATTCAACGACCTGGTCCTAATAGTCCTCTTGATTGGGTGAGAGAATGTGTAGAATTATTAGTACCTGAAAAAAGTCCTAAAAGGACTCAAATATTACTAGGTCTTAATTTTTATGGATATAATTATACACCTGAAGGTGGAGGAGCTATTCTAGGTTCAGATTATTTAAAAATTCTTGAATCCTTTAAAGGAAAAATTCAATGGGATGATAACAGTAAAGAACACTTTTTTGAGACAAAGTAAGATATAGGATTTATAAAATTATCAATTTATAAAAAAAAAAATTTATAGCTTAGATAAAATTTTCTTAGTTTAGGAGATGTATTAGAAATATGAGATGTATTTCAGGTCAACAGGAGGCAATGGAATTATCTTTTATCCTACATTATATTCTATTTTACATCGATTGGATCTTGCAGCAGAATTAAATACAGGTATATCTATTTGGGAACTTGGTCAAGGATTACATTATTTTTATGATTTATTGTGAACATTTTATATATATTACAAATATACGTAATATTAAAAAAATAAAGTTATCTAATATAATTTCCAGGTACATATAAATATACTTAATGAGTAAAATATAAATTAATGGTTGAAATTTTAGTTATGTATTTAAATGTAATGATTTCATAATCAAAATCAAGATAATATTTTTATATTAATCATTTAGATCATTGTATATGGAACTTTTAAACATTAATGTACAGTTTTTTTGGGCATTATTGTGATATTATTATTATTTTTTAATACTTGCATCTCTCTTCCCTTAAACATCATCATACATTGAGGTCCTCGTATAATATTGTACATTAATGCCCAGCATAGTTTTGCCGGTAATAAGCTTTTATAAAAAAAAAAAAATATTGATTTTTTTTTATAAAAATACTTTATAATACTTGGAGTAAGAAAAACTTCATGATATTTACCATTTTAATGGTAGAAGAAATCTAACTGATCCAGGCAATACAACAACAGCTTGATTCAACAATATTCCAGATACGATTTCTTGTGCGACATATTCAGGTTGTAACATTGGCAATCTAAATTTTTTTTTAGATTTTTTGCATATCATATCACCAAAAAAAAGATTATTATACATTAAATTACATACCTTGGTTCTACTCCATGAAACATGCCTGTATTGATAAAGTAAGGGCAAATTAAAGTGGCGTGAATTCCATCGTAACCGTGAGTCTACGAAAGTTGCAAAAAGAATTATTTTATAGTGCAAAAAATCAATATAAAAATAGGAAAATACAATACTAAAATGTTCTTACTTTAAGTTCAGTAAAAAGACTTTCATGATAGCCGATGGCCGCAAATTTAGTTGCCGAATAATCAGTACATTTGTAAATACCTAAAAGTCCTGCAACGCTTGCCACAGTTACAATGTGACCATGATTATTTTTCATCATATCCTTCAGAAATACGTTATTAATCTGTCAAATGTAAATGTTTAAATATTTTTGACTCGATCAAAGTCAGTATTCATTTCTACTCACCCAATAGTGAGAGAGAATGTTCACTTTATAAGTACGATCGATTTCAACATCGGATAATTCCCAAAATATTTTTCCGCATACGTAACCTGCGTTATTTATCAATAACGTTACCTAAATATTAAAATCATATTAAATCATTTTAATTCATTTGTTGATTATTCATTTAACAATTTTATTTACTGAGCCAACTTCGATTTCCACTGTTTTTGCCATTCTGTAAACTTCTTCCTTATTAGTGATGTCACAATAATAACCCCAACATTTCCCTCCATTATCTCTAATCTCTTGAACTGTACTCTTTAATCCTGAAATATCATAGAAGCATAAGTTAGCTTTCTCTTTTTTTTATATCAATCTATATCAAGACTTGCCAATTCTATTAATGTCCCAGATGACAACGTGCGCTCCAAGTTTTGCTAACTTAATCGCGATCAATCGTCCGATTCCTCCAGCGCCTCCCGTTATCAATGCAATTTCTCCTTTTACAGATTTTATTCGATAACGTTTTGGAATGAACGTCAAAATAATAGCCTCACTTATGTAAATAAATGCCTTCCCCATGAATAGTAGGAAATCGTACATTAGGATGAGCCATTCTGCTAGTTGCATTATAGTATATTCTTGAATTAAAAATAATTTAAATGTATTAAAGTAAATAAATTAAAATTATTCAAAATATTATCTTTCTAAATATTTAAATCACATTAAAAGAGGAAATTAATAAGAGATTAAACAGAGATTCAGTTATCGCGTATGATTTACTTCTTTTTCTATAAAATGTTGTAAAATATATTCTCTTTTAACCGTCATGCTTTCAATAAAAAAAAAACTGGTTCCTTTGTTATTTATTCATTTGTAGAAATATAAAAATAGAATCGATAAAAGTCTGGTAGATTCCAGTGATAGACAAAAATTATCTATATTACGGTTTCTATGTAAGTAAGTGAGGTATACTCTATAGACTATACTATTCTACAAGTCTCCGATTTACGGTTACTGGTGTTATTGGTGTCCGGTCAATGCACTGAGTATGCATGTGTGCAAATCCTTTTATGGGGATCAAACAAGGATGCATAGTTTGTTATAATATATATTTAACAATCATTATACATTTCTGTTTGAATATTTATTGAATAAATTATTTAAGTGAGGATCATTTCACACGAGACACTAATATAAAAAGCATATAAAATATACGAGCTTATACATTTCTGATTTTTTTTTTTTTATTTTTCTTGTTTCAATCCTCGTTCATAAAATTGAAATTCTATCTTTAAATTTTAATCATAACAAGTTTTTCTTTCAAATTTCGAATGTAATTTTTGTGCGCGTGAAAAAAAAACTAGATTCCAGATATCCGTTATCTTAAATTTAAACAAAGGTGAGATCACTTCGTGTAACGATGTTTAAAAATATTCCTGCTTGATTTTACCTAACTTCTTGGAAAAAAAAGTTGCTTGACAATTGGAAAGTTGTGCTTAAGAAATATTAAAAAGCATTAATAAAAAAAGGAATTTGCACTTTGAAGTTTAAAATTTTTTATTTAAATTTTTTAGCACATAAAATTTTTATTATGAAGATTGTTTTAAATCAATTCAATGCGCATTATAAGAAAACGTAATGATAATATGTTATTATAATTAAATACACTTTTATTCTCGATAAAATTGAAAATAATTTTCACTATTATTATTTAAAGATAATTTTCCACTTTTCCACTATGTTACAATTGAATCGTTTGATTTAAAATAACGTGTGAAACTAACAGAATTGGTCAATATAGTCATTACCTTTTTTATTTCTCTGATGAAATTTCCTGAAGTTTTTTTAAGATACAGCAAATGAATTTTTCTTCTTCTTTACTGTATTTACACTTTTATGTCAATTGATCGATTGATATTAATCAAAGCTCGATCAATATGAGCACTAAGATTCGCAATAGCTCGTCGTGTACCTTTAAACTTCGCTCAGTGGAATAGTCAGAAACCCTCTGGAAAGGTATTGAAGAATGTTGCTATATACTCCCCTCCATCATTATAGTCTCTTCCCTCGTATCGCATCTAAAGCATTGAAAGTAGGTAGCTCTAAAAGAATATTTTTTTTATTCTTCATGATACATTTTAATGCAATTAATAGAACTTTTTTGAATGAAAATATGAATATAATACAATATAATATTGTATAATATAATAATAAAAACGGCAATGAAGATAAATAATAACTTAATAATTTCGTACACTGCTGGATTTACTATAGTATAATATCTTATAAGAGATATTATATATATATATATATATATATATACACTATGTTACATGTAAATTCTAATATCTTAGAAAGAGTCTATATCATGTTTTATGGTGAAAGTCTAGTTGCCGCTCTGTTTCTGTCTTCTTTATCTGTTTTATTACTTTGTAGAACTTTAGAATAGTAGAATTTTGTAGAATAGTAGAACTTTTATAACAATAGAACTTTTATAACTCGATCTAATTAGCTGTAAATAGGGCATAAAATTTGAAAACAGAAAAAAAATTTTAAAAACAACATCTTCATTTAAGAAATTAATAAGACAAAAGGTTTATTGTTATATTTCAAGATTTATGTCTATAATACTCTAAATCAAATACAAAAAAATTAATATAGTAATTTTCTTGAATTTCTTGATTGTAATTTTTTTATGAAAAAGATTTAAACGGAATTAGAAAATTTCTTTAATATTATTGCTTCTGTTTTTATAGAAATAATCAGTTATTATTTTTTTAATTTTTCATCCTTTAGCTATTGCTAAAGTTAAACAAAAGATAATGTATTATGAGAAATTACGTGAAATCATTGATTTGCAATGATTTTTATTCTTCTGGGTTATTCTTCTTTGGATAGAAAGTTACGAAATCCAAGCGAATTCGAATTACGTGCGTGCAATGTAGATGGAGCATTATAATATCTCAGCTTACACAATCAGAGTGGAAATTTATTCATTCTTTGACAAAACACGTACCTATGTACATGCATGGGAAAATGTACACTTGCTATTCCTGGATATAATTCGTGCAGTGTACGCATGACCGTCACTCATCTTATAAAAACCTAATTCACACGAACGATTTTCATAGTTTGAGCGTAGAAAATAAACAAGAATCATCAAATATCCAGTGAAACGAACGATATTTAAAATCTAGGTCAGTGATATTTTTTTCCTACAAAAGACAAAAAAAAAAATAAAATAAAAAAAATAGAAACAATATAATTATATTAGTAAACATCAAATATAACATATAATAAACAGAACATGTAATAAAAAAAACATTGCACTTTATTTCTTTCATATTTTTATTCTAATATACTTTTGGATTTTTGATATTCAAAAATTAAAGATATTACCTTTTTCGAGCCTGATCAAACGTTTGGAAAGTAATTTTACATTGTTTTTAAAATTTGATTGTTCAAAAACAGTGTTGCTAAGGCCTTCAGTTTTTTCGATCGTAATGAATAATGAATTATGTACATATAATAGAAAAAAAATGCAATACAATGACGAAGATACGGCCGTTTCATTATCCATGCAATCCATCGATCGTTTTAATGAGTTGTCTGAATTAATGAATAAATAAAAGATAAAATCATGAGCAATTGTATATTTTTAAAGTATTCTTTGAGTGTACAAGACATAATAAATTCTCTTTTATTGTTTATGGCATTCATGGTTTAATCACATGCAATGAATATTTTCCATTAAAATAATCAATTATACATAGAATATTATTTATACGTAAGATTTGTTGTAAAGTTTTTTCTAAATAACTAAAAATAATATTTATTTTTTCTTGATATATGGTGATTTTTAATACAAACGAAGTAAAAAATAATATTTTTTTTGAAATTTTTTTTATAAAATATCCTTTTATTTTTTCACTGTTTTTTTTTTGTTTTTTTTTTTAAATTTTTTATAATTGCGTCCATTGTAACATTTTTGGCGTTATTTTTTAGAGAGTTCAAACTAAATAAGTTTTTATTTTTATATTAATTTTATTGATAATAAAAATTATATATTTATTTATTCAAGTATTTTTAATTATATTATTTAGTATTTATTTTTATGTTAAACTAACCTGTTATCCATAGTCGTTTACTAACGGACATCAAAACATTTTCACCATCTAGCGGTAAATAGGTAAAATTAACATGTCAAATAACAAAAATTTAAAATTAAAAATTTTTGGGATCTATACTAAATTTTTCTAATTCTCTAAATGATGAGATCTATAAATTAAAATATATTCTTTTAAAAAATAATTTAATTTTGTTCAGTTTCTTTTTAATTCTAATAATTCTTGTAATTGTAAATAATTTTTAAAAAATATATTTCAAGATATATTTGATGGAATCTAGTAAATTCTATCTAGTAAATTAGTGAAACTAGTCGGCAGATAGAACAATCGAAAGATTTAAATTTTGTAAAATTTACATTAAATTCTTTAATCAATTTTATCAAATCAAAACTTATACTTCAAGAAATAAATTGAGATTTAATTTATTAAAATATTCTTTCTTGTTTTAAAATTTTTAGATCAATCAATAATCAACCAATGATATAACAGCGTGTTAATAGTCATTTGATAATTAGTTATTAAAAGATTTTATTTTTAAAATTTTATATATAATCTGAAAAGATTATCATAAACTGTAAATATAGAATTTTATAATTTATCTATAATTATAATATCATTTCCTCTATTTCATTTATTTTCAGTTCTAGCTACTTCTTGAATATGACTGAGTCGATAACATTGGGAATGATTCCAAATGATAAGCAGAGTTTAGAATTATTCGAAATTTGATAATTTGATCGATTATCGATTTATTCTTCATCTAGTTAATTTAAAGGTATTGAAAGTAAAATAAATTGTTAACAATAACTTATTTTTAAAAGTAATGTATATATTTTTGTGATTCTTCAATCAAAATCCTATTTAAAATTTATATAAAGATATTAATGAACAAATCGTTAATTTGTGAGGTTAATCAATAAATATATATTCCATGGTGCGACAATACATAAATAATATATACTTCAAGATGTATACATGTAAATATACATATATAATATTGAAACGTACAAAAGCAAGAAAGTTCTGAAGTGCCAATATTTGTAGATTTTCGTATTTACATATTTAATAATCGCTTAGTAGTGCAAAAAAAAAAAAACTCTTTAATAACAACTATTATCAAGATCCATTCTGCTCAGGTTTATTTAATGGGAATTTCAGTGAAAGTACATACTGACATTAATTTCGTAATTTTTATTCTTTTAGACACCTCACATTCTGACTGACGGTTTTCACTTGAATTAACTTCGAACAGATTTTTTTTAGCTATCTGTTAAAATATTGACGGTGAGTTTTTTTTATCATTCCTTATCTTCTACAATCTTTCCTTTTCTTAAATAAATCACATTATAATTCTAATATATAAACATTTTTTAATCATGATAATAATCATTAATCATATTTCAAAGGTTAAGAAACTAATTTGTCTTGGACCAAAATGATAGATATCAAATATTTGATTAAAATCTGATAATATAAATGGAAATAATATGATTATTAATTATTAATTGGAAAAATTTATGATAAATGCATATACATATTATAAATAAATATTATTATAAATACATATGATTATTAATATTATTATCGCATTAAAAATTGATTATTAATATTCTTTCTCTTCATTGTGAAAATATTCATTATCATTATTTTGATAATTGATTAGGACGTAATACGAATTAATTCTAAATCTTTACGAATTTCAAAATCTTTCGAATTATTTGAAACCGGCCACTTTCACTCATAATGCTGCTCTGAAAAGCTAATTTATGAAACAACCTATAGTTTTGCTAAACCAAGAGAAAGATTTCTCGTGTTTCAAGTTCAACGGTTAAATGATAGAATATAAACTTTCCATTTCATCAAAATTTTAATTCATAATAATTTATTTTAAAATTATCACTTATCTGAGATTTTCAATCTTGCGATCAATTTCTTTTAAATTATGACAAATTATGAACTGATGAAATAATTATCGAAAAAAAAAAAAAAAAAAAAAAAAGAAAGAAAAACAACACTATTAAGAATAACTTGTTTGCATAGTAAAGTATATTTGAATAATTTTTATACAATAACAACAAATACAAAAATAACAAAATTATATCATATTATTTCCAATAAGTATAATTTTTTTTCTTCTTTTATATTCTTTTTTTTTCTTACAAATTAATTTGTAATATTATAATTACAATTATAATTTATATATTTTCATATCAACTTTGAGATTTGAAGTTAATACCAATTTGAATTAAAATTTTGTTCTAAATTTAACACAACATTAATATCCATGTGAAGAACAAGGTAAATATTATTCAACTTATATACAATAACAAAATATAATTTTCTAAAAAATTATTATTAAATTAATTTATTTTATTTTTAATTTATTATCGTTATCTTAAAAGGTAGTTATAATTTTTTAACGTTAAAATTATCACCTTAAAACACACATTAATCTTTTTTTTTTTATTAATTTCTCTAGATTTCATTTCTTTGACTGAAAAATCTACCAATTTCTGAATTCAACTTGATTTTCATCAATATTTTATATATATATATATATTAACAAATATCGTTCAACTAAATCAAGAATAATTCACGAAAATTTCATTTGCCCATCAATATTCCATTCGAGAGGCTACTCTCTCCTTCGTTCGACTCTCGCTGTTGCGACGCCCTAGTCGAAGGAAATGCAGTCGATGGATCAACAGGCGTTTTGTGTGGATGTGCCGGTGTTCCAGTTCGTAAATTGCACGAACGATATTAATAAAACGCAATAAATTAATATTAATATCGATTTAATATCATTATTTCTTATTTAATTTTTATAAATTATATTATGCGATTTATAAATATATATCATTTCATTTTGAATGATTGTATAGGTTAGCGTCATAATAAAAAGTAAAAACAATTTGAAGAAAATATCGAAAGATAACGACGAGATAATTCAACAGATGAATGAATTACATGATAAAATATCGAAAATAAAAATATTTATATAATACATCGATAATACGTATAATGCGTAATATAAAACTTTATATTTTTATCATATATTGAATTACATCAACTCTCTGAAAATTAATTTAAATCTTTTCAAAAATTATTTTCATTAATATATTTCTCACGTTATATTATTATGCTTTGTGATTTCAGTTTTAACTTCTATCATTAAAAAGAAGAAAAAAAGATGATACATATAAAATAGATTGATGCATGTGCAATTATCACGCTCATATTAATGTTCGTTTAATACTCGTATATCTCGTGTGATGCGCATAGTTTGTTGCCGGAGATCGTCGAGAGAGTAAAGGCGTACCAGAGCCGCCGTTTTATTCAGTTCACCAACGACCGTAGTGCCGGTAAGACGAGTATCTTTCGTTCCGTAGACAAGTTTCGCATAGGTATTTTCGTGCACCACATTGGTTCCCTCTTTCCACGTTTTATTTCTGTTCCGCCTTCTTCCGGAAAGTGCGAGTGCTTTGCAACGAAAACACACAGAAGGGATTTACATTGCGTAGTAAGATCCCTTTTTATATTTCAATTCATCATATATATAAATATATATATATATATTTCTTAAGATATATTTATGAAAATACTCGTTCAAATCTAGATAATTATATCTTTTCGTTTCTAATTCCATTGTTAAGAATCGAAGAATTTTATGATGCGATGCCTGTATAAAAGCAGAGCAACGAGGAAGACTTATAACTACAGCAAATTGAATTCGTAACGATGCTCGGATAGTTGGCCGCGAGCGAACAGTTTTGAAAGTGGCCTTCTAATTTCTCGACCCGAGTTTCGATCAATTCTTTAAGGAAATATTATTTAATTAATACTTAATGCGATTTCGATAAATCAAGAACGGTCTTATCTATTTCTACGTGATATTAAGTTATATAGTTTATCTAGTTCTGATTTAATTTAATATTTATGATTGTGTTATTAAGAGAAGGGAAATAAATTTTTCTCCGTATATTTATCGATATCGCTCGGCTTCACATTAGGATCGAACGAATCAAGTAAATTAAATTGACACGAAAAGCTTCGCGCTGTGTGTGTCACGCGACATTTTGCCATGATTGCTATATATATATATATAAAACTGGCTGTTGCTCGTTGGCGCTCGATTATATTCTTTGGTACACGAAACGTGACACAGAAATTCACCGTTAATTGAAATCATTCGTTCGACAATAATAACTATGCAAAACAGAACATTATGCTAATGGAAAAGAATATTTTTTTACGTGAAACATTATCTTATCTATTGTTTCGAGAGAAAAAATTTTATTGTGATTTTATTTATTTTACTATTACGTACGATTTATTTTTTTGTCATTTTGTTTTCTTAACAAGAAAGATCATTAAATATATACATATATATATATATATGTGTACATATACACATTTCATTTAATACATTGAACGAAATCTCTGAATAAGAATCGAACTACTATTTTTAATAATTAAAAAAAAAAAAAAAAAAAAATAACAACCGATCGTTCTTCTGTACAAACAATAATTATAACTCAATCTTCGTTTCCATTCATTCTATTCATAAAAATCGTTTTATTCACAATCGTTTAAGTAATCGAAAAATTACGAGCTTCGTGTGACTTGAATATATGGTGAATTAAAAATCGAAAGTGAATTTCGCGTTTCATTAGAAAGTGAATCGATATTGGATATTTGCCCTAACGTGAATTACTGGAAGATCGTAAATTTCGTGGTAGACATGATATATGACATAACAAGAATATAAAAAGAATTTTTATTTCGGAATTTTTATTTCTATTTAAAGAGCGTGGCATTTTTATTTTCGTACAGGGACAGGATACGGATAACATCTTGAAAGGGGAGCACACAAGACCTTCGAAGTTACTGGTTTCATTCAAACCTTGAATATACGATAAATTTCATTTTTTCTTTCGCCGTATATAACCGTATATAACCGAATTAATTGCAATACGGTGAAATTACAATTTTAAATATTTATCGAATTATTTTTAAAATTAGATAAAAATATTTAATACGAATAGAACGATATCAATTTTCAAAATTTTAAATATCCTCGAATTCGAGTTTCGTGAAATTTTTAAATTCTTGCTTGATATATCCTTGCTTGAAATATCCGAACGCCTTGTTTCCTGAATAAAAAGAAAGTAATACGAAATTTTGGGAGAAAGTGTAAGATGTTATCGTTTCATATTATTAAATTTAATTAGTATATGTACAAATTGGTTGGATAATATTTTAAGTTTAATTTCTTTAATTTCTAAATTAATTAATATTACAATTATAAATAGATACACGTATACAAAATTAATAATACAATACAATACAATAATTATAAAAAAATTAATCCTTAAAATTCTTTTGCAACGATTCGCATTCAAAATCGCATTTAAATTCGTCGTAATTATGTTTTCCAGGCAAACATCATCCGTCCATAAACTTTAATATATACATAGGAGGAGCTATGCCATCCTGATCGACCTCAACTTCGAAGAAGAGATCGCAGTTTTAGCGATAAAACAAGTTCGAACGAATTGGGAACCGATACAAAAATTTCAATCAGAGAGAAAAAGAAAAAAAACGGAACAAATATGTCGTTCTTTGAAACCGCCAAAGCTGTGATAGTTTTCATTTTTTGGACAGTGATCTTCTGCATCGAAACTATCATCAATTTGTTCATCCCGTTGAAATACAAGATGAAGAGCATTGCTGGGGAAATTACTCTGGTTACCGGTGGTGGTAGCGGTCTAGGAAGATTAACCGCCCTCAGGTTGGCCAATCTAGGTGCCATCGTTATCGTCTGGGACGTAAACAAGGCTGGTGAGCATCTCTCCTCTCGAACGATATATGATCAAATGTTGATATTTTTGAAATCCCTGAGAATTGTATTATTATTTATTATTATTAACAAGTTGGAACGAAATTAATGATGGAACTAATTTTAAAACATGATTTTATGGAAGTAAAAGTTTACAGATGGAGATACGAGTTGATAACTTTTTACAGAATAAGCAATGGAAACTTTTATTGGACAATTTTTACAAAAATGCGAAATAATATAAAACGGAGAACTCTCTAAATTCGCTAATACTTGTAAAACACCGTTTCAATTAGCTAATGTATGCGATTGTAATTTAACATAACTCTAACTCTTTCTTGCCGATTATGCAATGCCAAGATTTTGTAACTGCGATAACATATTTTCTATCGTCTGTTCAGCTGCTGGAAGCTGGATGAAGGACGAAGTCCGCTGTCCTTGATCTCGAGTCCTCCCAGTGAGAAGACTTATATATGTAATTGTAACTTTTGGTCATCTTTGATACAGTCGCGTTTCACGAAATATTTGATAAATATAAAATTATGATTCAAGTAGTATTCGAACATTTTTTCGAATATTTGATATATATATAAAATTGATCTTGCATCGACAAATGTGATTCAATTTCTAAGCTCTCTACTTTTGAAAAGATAAGTTTCCATTCCATTTCTCATGATTCTCATGAAGGTAATTCACGATTGTTCCAGAGAGCAACACGCTCAACATGCCAATTGAATGAAAACTTGAAAACGTTATCACGAAGTCTTGAGATTGAAAAAAGATGTTAGAAAGATGATTTCATCATCAAGAACGATTATGATCGCCCGAATTCGACGTTTCTTGATGAATATTCGAATTTCAAGGTCGTTCGAATCGTGTTCAGAATTCGAATCGAATCGAAGCACGAGCGTTGCTTAATTTCGAAAGAGACACATCGTGACCGTGCTCTTCCATCTCATTTAAAATATAAAAATCCGATAAGAAATTCGCGATATTCTCCTTTCCATTTATTCATCTTATTACACTCGTCTTCTCTCCGTTTCGTTGTTTATACTTTTCATACTTTTTATCAAAAAATTAGATAATTATATCACATTATTTGCAAATTGCTTAATTATAAAACTAATTTTCTATTCTCTAATCTATTAATCTATTGATCTTAATCTTGATCTAATTATATTATAAATATTCATTAATTGTTATTAACAATTATATTAATATTGATGATATTTATTCTGAAATTTTTATTTTTCAAACAGTTTCAAAACACTTTTCTATTTTCTTGATAAATCAAGATAATAATTCCAACTCGTACATGGAAATTTCGATTTGTAGATTCGAATATTATTCTACGCAAGTTTTTCTACGTTGTAATGTGATCATTTTTATTATTTATGTAAAAACATAAATTATCTGAATGATTTATTTTACAAAAAAAGTATGATAAAGTAATAATGATATATAATTATATAACAATAATTATAAATGCAATTATAAATGCGAATCAACAATATCGATCTTATTCCAAATCTTAAATAATCTTTCTAACTGTTAATGATCTCAGTGAAGCAACGAAACCGTAGGAAAAAAATAAATTGATCTTTATCGTTTATCGATCCTCTGTTTTTCGAGTTAGTTAATGAACCTAGAAAAAGTAAATGAAATTTTTATTAACTTTTGCTGAATCACCTGAGCAAAGAAGCACGGAATAAAACATAAATTGATCGAAAAGTAATAAATGTTATCAATCGCGAAACAATTATATTATACTTGTATATTTCTATTTTTTTTTTCAGGGAAATACACGATTTCGATGCAGATATTGCGAATCAACAAGAAATAGAAAAATTGCGTTCTATTTCGTAACGAATGAAAAATTACAAATAATGAGACGAGGGAAAAAAAATCATAAAGATAGTGAAAGATTTTTTACTTTATTTTAAAAAAAAAAATATTCTCGTCTGAGGTTCACGGGCAGAGGAAGCTCGTATAATGAATTTTAAACATCGTTGATCAAAAAACTTATTTTCGTGGACGGCATATAAAATCGCTACATTGATCTAAAAGTAATCATATGCGTAATTATTTGCAAGCGGAACACGTGTCGCTGAAAGCGAAACATCGCATTGCGAGAATTAATACTAGTTGAATCCTTTGTGTGCGGCTAAAAAATGGGAAGGATCGAAAAACAATCAAAATCCAAAATTAAATTCTCTAAATCTTAAATTAATCATCTCGTATTATTATAAATAGAATGTTTCCTCATATAATAACAATTTCCTCGTATTTTGAAACTTTTGAACTTTACCAGTGTATTTAATCGTAACGTATTTCGTATAAATATACTGATGAAAAAAGAAGAAGAACGAATCTTGTTAGATTGCTTGCCAAGAGAACCTTGCGAAGAACCTAGAAAAAGCAAGTCTCAAGGGCGTCCGTGTAAACAGGATCGAGCTATTTATAAAACTGGTTTTCGAAAAAGAAAAATTAGAATTTCACGTGACCATGTAACTAATGTTCACATAAACTTAAACATTATTATAAAACATTATTATAATAATATTATAAAACATTCGTGTTATTTTATTATATTTTCATTATACTCGATTCACGATTTCGACACGTGATATGCAAGAGAATTCAATGAGAATTCATGTTCGAATCAACAATAATTTTACGATTGTTTTTAATTGGATCAAGTGGCAACACTGCTAATTCTAGTAATTAACGTTTCATTAAATGTAGCATCATCGATTATTGATTGGTGAATTTCAAGGAAAATATGAAACAATCATCATGTATAATACACCATTACCAGGAACAGGATATTTCTGGTGTTGCAATTACATTTCATATTCTATGTAAGCACGCGTAACACTTGGTCAAGAAGCGAAACAACCGTCTTTCCATGCGGTACAACTTTCTACGCGCGAAAAATCTCCTTTTTTCGATCAAGCAAACAATCACTGTAACCAGATTTTAAAACTATTCACACGCGTACAGGAATTAATTATTAATTATTGTGAACATCTTCCTTCAATTGTATCCACAAAGTTAATTTCAAAGTTAATTCCACCAATGCAGCGATATAAAATATATTACGCAAATTATCACGAATAATTTAATGTCGAGTCATTAAATTCTAAGAATTAGAAAAAAAAAAATTCACATGAAATATTAACTAACAACAAATGTATACTTGATCGATCTTACATTACTCGTTTCTTAATAAGTTAATTATAAAATATATATGTGATCAGATCTTTTTTCCATAAACTTCACAGCAGGCATGCAAGGTTTATTTGTATGAAGTGTTGCGTTACGTAATAACACAAGTTGCGTGAAAAGAATTTGCAGATGAAAAATAATATAATATATGAAATTCGAGTTGAAACTTTTTTATATCGATACAAAGATTCAATGAAGGATTTCGTATGGCATTGAATAATTTTTATAATGTAAGCATCGTTTTATCTAAAACGATGTAAATTTTGTAAATCACTCACTGAAGAAAAATATTATTACAGAAATAGTATAACGATGCTTCAAACGAGGTTATTTTTATTTTGACAATTGTTCAACATTGTACTACTGTAATGTAAAATCTTTGAAATTTTTAAATGAATATATAGCGTTATTGACGAGTTTCTTTTTGTTTCAGGCATGGAAGAGACTGTCAAGTTGGTGCAGGCCGCAGGTGGCACTTGTTACGGTTACGTTTGCGATTTGTGCGACAAGGAAGATATTTACAAGAAAGCGGAACTGGTTAGGAAGGAAGTTGGGAAGGTGAGAATTGCGTTATTTCGAAGATGTTTTTCTAGAATTCTTCGATCAAATTCTTCCATGCCAAATATTCATGTATTTCGTAACAACAAATGCCACGTTAAATTCGCCTGTAGCTCAATAATCAATTAGCAAAGGCGCGTACGAAAAATCAGCAGCATTTAAAGTCTCTCTTGTCGATTGCTTAAGATTTTGCAAATATTATGTTAACGTAAATGTAAATGGAATTGGATGAAGAAGAAGTCGAATCAACTAAAACAAAATTTGAACGATGTTCGATCGTTTTGAACATCAATATGCAGCATGAGCAAGTAACCCAACTATCCTATTTTCTTGAATGTTTCAGGTAACTATTTTGATAAATAACGCCGGCGTAGCCCAGGGATTGAAATTCTTAGATTCGCCGGACAAACTTCTTACACGAACAATGGACGTGAACGTGATGAGTCACTTCTGGGTATATATATTTATCTCGAACTCATTACTTTTAACAACTGTCATTTTTCAGCAATTTATTTCGATAACGATAATAATAATAACCAGTATTATTAATAATAATAACCAGCAATAATAAGAACCAGTATTTTTCCAGAGGCAAATGATTAATAGAAAGAAAAGTTTTCCTTCGAGTATTCTCATACCGGACAATTTATTTCCTAACCTATTACTTGCTATAGATTTACTAACCTTCCAACCGTGGTACACAATCTTGACAAACTTCAAATTTAAATCCATCAATTCGCAATTGAAAAAACAATTATTCCCTTCGTAGTGTGAGGTCCAAGTGAGAGGCATTCCTTGCGCGACGGTGTGTTCTCTCCATTTAAGCCTATTGCTGTAGGTCATGTGGGAAAACCGGTCGAATAGATGCAGTCACTCGTCCGTGTAGTTACAGTACACTCGTAGTTGCGACATGCATGGGACATGCTTGCTTGCCAAACCAAGCGTATTCATAATATTCGAATTTTTCTTATTCGTCCAATATATCGTCGAAGAGGAAAATTATTATGTTACACAGATATCACAGTCTTCTTCTTAATACAATCTTCATAAAGATAATCTTCATAAACTAACCTTAAAATTTTCGATAATCGTAATAATGGCATTGCTCGTCTTACGATCTGTTTTATTCCTCTGTAACAAACATGATTATTCCAGGCAGTATATATTGACGATTTCGTGAATCACGAGAGATTAGCCAAAGTAACGGGATACGGAGTGAAAGTTCAGAGAGATATCATCCATGCTGAGGCATCTACGTGCACAAGAGCTAAATTTAACGTTGATTGGGAGCATGAAGGATAAATATTACCGATTGGAAAATTTCATGGACATTGACATCTTGTAATAATGGAAAAAAGATAAAATAAGCTGTTCGTGGATATTTTATTCTGACTTTGAATACAGTTGTTTATTTCCCAGTTTTCTTCGGGAAATTATAATTATATTTAGAATTGAAAAATCGTTTCCAAGATAAAGATTCTTCTTGGAAAATTCTACGATGTGATAATGTCGTGAATCGTCGTTTTTCACGCCAATACAATTCTTTCTAGATTCTTCCTTTGTTCTAGACTTTGCCTCCGCATTCGAGGATTTCATTGTTACTTGCACGGATATTTACATATTTTACTTTTGAAAGTGAAAACACAAGAAACGGAGGAGGGGAGAGGGGACGAAAATGGACGAACTTATAATGTCAGAGATAGGACACTTGTGCTACAATTGTATTTACATATGCTAAACAAGTGTAGATTAGGCAAACAACACTTCTGTAAAAGTAGCTAACTATGTTTTTCCCTTGTCAATATTCTCGTTGATTCTTTTTGAACAGAGAAATAATTAAAGATATATTGAGACATATTATATTATTGTATAAATTGCTGAAAATGATTATTTTTTTTTTTTAATACAATATTTCGAGATTATTTAATTAATTTCTCTTTCTCAAGACGACGAAAGCGTTCTTACCTCCAATGCTGGAAGACAACAAAGGTCATATTGTAAGTATCGCAAGTTTAGCTGGATTCATAGGAGTACCGTGCTTAGTGGATTATTGCGCCTCGAAATATGCGGCAATTGGATTCGAACAAGCTCTTCATATGGAGTTAATTGTAAGTTCCTTCACTTTTCGTTTCGATAACGTTTGCCTATTGAATAAATATATGTTTCATAAAAAAAAAAAAAATTATTTTTAGGCCGATGGATACGATATCAACATGACCGTGATATGCCCGTTTTTCATTCGAAGCACTGGCATGTTTGGCGAAGTTTCTCCTAAGTATAACTTGATCCTTATTATATGTACATAAATGGAAATGTAAAATTGGTGATCTATATTTGTCCTCGCATTCCTTCAGAATTTTACCGAAGCTTACGCCGAATAAAGTGGCGGATCGAATAGTAACTGCTGTGAGATGCAATGAAAAACTCGTTATAATTCCTGGTTACATCCGCATTCTCCTTGCTCTAAAATGGTAAACAAAAACCGCATCGTCAAAAAGTATTATTTTAACTGATTGGCTACGAGAAAGATGAAAATTTCTTAATAATAAATTATTATTTTTCCAACGTGTTTGCAATTTTCCTAATGTAATTAACATTCTTTTGTTGTTCCAGCTTCTTGCCATGGGCTTGTACAACCATGTTCATACAAAATTTACTTTTGAACGAGATATCGGATAATGTACAATCAAACAGCGGTACTCCGAAGAAAGAAGAAATTATTCCAGGAATGGTGAGCAAAGATCCAGACAGTTCGGTTATTCATCAACAATTAACCAGACGTATCTCCAGCTCGGAAAGGAACCTTAATCGATTCGATCGACATGATCGACATACATCATGCAACATATCCAATCATTTTCGATTGCTCTTTTCCAATCCGAATAAATAACTATGTGTGGGAGTTGTGGAATATTTAATGTATGTTAAATGATATGTTACTAGATATGATAATTAAAATATTGCGAAACTCGTTTAATACGAGTTTTGATATATGTCAATAGAGCTTGTTCCTGAAACGAGTTATTGCGCAAGATAAATCTCATGGAGCTGGAAGTGAAAATTTTTAGAATCAATATTGAAATTTTGTTAAGAAATAGTAATACGAATAGGAATAAAGATTTTTAAAATATCTCAATTAATATCTCTAAATGTTATTTTTTATAATTATAAAGTAGTATTGTGTCTTTTGAAAATTATAAAAAAAAAATGCTAAAATTGATCATTGATTTTCTGGGAACTAAATTTGTTCTGTTGCTAAGAGAGAGATATTGTGATTGAATCTTGCTCAATGTTAATGGAAAAAATTTGTACATTTTAATATTGTTGATTATCATTTAACTGTTTTGTACAAAAATATTTTATGGCACGATGATAAAATGCAGTTACAAATTTTAATATACAATTATATAAAATATATAAAAAATGTTAAATATCGCCGATATATATATATATATATATATATATATATATATATATATATATATTATTATATATATATATA